GCAATCATTAACCGAGCAGCTTGGCGGTGTGGAACTAGGCTGGTGGTATGTATTTAGACAGCTGAACAATGACATTTCTGGTTACCAGAAAGAATGTGGCTTGTACACCACTTCTAAACCTTAACGCTTGTGTTTTCAGTTTTTATGCCTATCAAATCAAACCAGGCACTGACTGCAACAAAATCAGGTGTGTCTGGAAGAAATCACCTGCTTTGTTACTCCTTGCTCTCTTTGAAAAGGTACTTGTTGTTGCCATGGAGCTGGCTCCACTCGCGGTGACCCTATGTATAATACACCAAAACATTAACTGGTCCTGCACTATCTTCATGATCACTGACTTGGTCCATTGTTACAGCAATTGTATAGCGTCTTCCAACCTTGGGGGCTCATCTTCCAGCACTACATCAGACACTATTCTGTTGTGAGCCATAGGGTTTTCATTGGCTAATTTTTGGAAGTAGATCGCCAGCCTTTCTTCCTGGTCTTAGTCTGGAAGCCCCGCAGAAATCTGTCCACTATGGATGACCCTGCTGGTATTTGAAATAACCAGTGGCATAGCTTCCAGCATCATAGCAATATGCAAGCCACCACAGTACAGCATACTGACAAAGTGCTTATGGACCTATATTACCTTGGAGTTCTTTCCATACGTTCTTTCCTTAATTGATTTAAGTCTGAATTTTTCATCTTGCTAACTCTGGTGTCATCAAAGAGACGTCATCCGGTTTACAGATGATTTCCTATTGGCCACTGTGTCAGAAGCTACCTAGGTACAGCCAAAACTATTTTCTCTATTTCTTGGGTACAAATTAATTCTCATTTCCCGAGCTCCCTCAGTATGGCTACATGGCATGTTCTCACCAAAGGAATATGTATGTGACTTCTGAGCCAAGGTGGTTAAGAAGTATGTGTCTTCTCTACCTACTTCTTTCTCATTTGTCACCTGAACACAGGACTCCAGGGTCTTATAGGAGGGTGGAGTCATAAGATGGAAGGTGTTTGCTTTCTGGAATGACTTTGTGGAAGGCCTCTGAGTGATCAGGAACACCTGCACTGTATTGTTACATGAACAAGAAATAAACTTGTATTGTGTAAAATAAAAGCCCAGAAATGTGTGTTTGCTACATTGCCATAACTAATATAGCTGCCATCATTCATGTAATAGATGTTTATTATAGACCTACTATGTGCCAGGTAGAGCCTGGTGGCAGAGTGGTTAAGAGCTATAGCTGCTAGCCAAAAGGTCAGCAGTTTGATTCCACCAGCTGCTCCTTGGAAACCCTATGGGGCAATTCACTCTGTCCTACAGAGTTGCTATGAGTCGGAATCGACTTGATGGCAGTGGGTTTGGTTTGGTTTTGGTATGTGGCAGGCACTCTTTTAGTTGCTTCCATGAGCCAGGCACTGTCCTAAGGGTTTGGGATACACAAAAGAAAAGACACATTCTCTGTCCTCAACAAGCTCAACAGATCAATGGAGAAATTTGTTTACAAATAAGCAATTATAACACAATAAGAGAATAGTTACAATGGATGTATGTGCCGGGAACAGACATAGCAAGGGAGAAAAAATATCTAAGGGTCTCTGGGGAAGAAGTGAGATGCGTGAGACATAGTGGAAAAGGAATTGGTAGAGGAGAGCTGGAGGGAGGTGTTCTAAGCATGAGAAAAGGCATGAGGGCAGGTTTTTTTAATAACTACCAATGTTTAAGAGGAACTGGGATGTAAAGTCCGAAAATAGGAGCAGGTGGAGATGAGGATGGAAAGGTGATAATCAGAAAAGTCTTAGAGTGTCTATAGGCCTTTCCTTGTAGGTCTTATGTTGTTGTTGTTATGTGCCGACGAGTTGGTTCCAACTCATAGCAACCCGATAGTGGGTCTTTGTAAGTGTGGATTTTAGGCTAAGTTGGAATTGACTTGATGACAACAGGTTTGGTTTTCTGGTTTGGATAGAGACCCACCAAACTAGTTTGGTTTGGGAGTGATATGATGACACCTCTATGTTAGAAATATCTCCTTGGCTTCAATGTGAGGATGGACTAAAGCATGCCTTAGCTTGGGTAATTCTGAAAGTAGATCATGAAAGAAGGATTTGGGGGAAGGCAGTTTATTTGGGAGGTGATCCAAGGAAGCAGTAGCTAGAGAGCAGGGTGAAACGGGGAAGGAGGAAAAGCCAATGTAAGGGTGCATTCTCAGAGTTGCTGCTGTAGGCAATGGGTGTCTCCCCTTACTAGAATGTAGGCTGTATGATCCCAGGAAACTTTGTTTTGTTCGTGCATGTATCTCCAACCCCTAGAACGGTTTCTAGGACATAAATATTGGTTGAATGAAGGAATGAAATACAGCAGCTGATCCCTTGTTAATGGTGACTGCAGAGTTAGCTGATTAATCACTGCTTCCAAGGTTTAGATGTCTAGCTCAACTTTTCTGAAGAATACACATATTCATATTTCTCCAAGATTTACTGGCTCTGCATATACACCATGCTGGTAACAGTGTATCATAGTTCACTAATAAAAAAGTAACTTGTAGTACTCTTCCACCAAGTTACAAAAATATTTTATTTGGACTTTGTGAATTTGCCAAAAACTAAAAGACAGATGCTTTATATTCAGAATTTCCTCTAAATATTCAGGCCATTTTTAGTCTTGTGATCACTAAAGAAAATGCCAGGTGGCATTGTGATTTCAAAGTGTTGATTCTAAACTATTTAATACAGGTTGATGAGCTGGAGCTCAATAACATCAACCTATAAAACACAGGTGTTCCACCAGAAATAGTATGGTTTCTAGCAGCCACTATTTGCAAGGTTTTAACAGGTATTAACTTTGGAATTAAAGAGTGAGTGCAGTGAAGGCAGAGTTAAGTCTTGAAATACAGGTTTGTTTGAAATCCAAGAGTTTCTCGTGGACCAAATGGCACTGATAGAAATGTGTGTCTCCTTCAGAGGTCCTGCTATGCTGTCTTCACGTGGAAAATATATCTTAAGCCTTCCTGGCAGCCAACCTAATAAAAGTTGGCCCTCTGGGAGTGCTATCTGTTTTACCAGTAGCCGATCTCAGATTTACATTCTTCCAAGGTGAAGCCCCAAGCAGTAGTGATGCTGCAAAACTACTCAACTCCTCTCTTATTTTAGATTTTTTGGGCAGAGTTGGAGAAATAGCATTTTCTCTGCAAGAGCCTGTATTTAAGTTAAAATGAAGCCTTCATGCCTGTCTTGGCAAGATCATACATTCTTAAATAGGGTTCTATCCAATTCAAACTCAGCACTGTGGAGACTGGCAGCAGAATGCCTCCTGGGGCTTCTGGGCTTTGTAGACTCAGACCTTGCTACCTGTTCCATGGGGGAATTTTCAGCCAGGAGAGACCTGGGCATGAAATGTTGTTCTTGGCCATAGAGAAGGCAGGAAAGTAGGAAAACAAATCAGTCAACTGCAGCATAGAAGAGGGACAGGGGGACGTGCATAGTGACAGTGTTTAGACCCAGCATGCAGGGAATTAGCACAAATCAGATTAAAAACTGCATAATTAACATGCATTTAAAAAAAATTTTTTTTTTCCTTCATCTAGGTTAAGCCTTACAAGTATAACAAAATTCTGCTCTTCAATCACTTTTCAAGATGGCAGCATTCCTTCATTACCACCAAATCAAGCTTCTGGGTCAGCACATGGCCCAGTTTATCTAAACAAAGAGAAATTATGTATCATAGTTTTAGTCCTGTGACCAGTGAAGAGGATGCCAGACAGCATCATAATTCATCTTGTTAAATTAGAGTAAGTATTAGCATATGAGAGAAAAGGATGATGGTCTGGGCAAAGATCTACTTTAGAACCTAGTGTTATTGTGGCCAGCTGCTAGGTCCTGATGACCCCAAGATCCTCTATGCCTGGAGATGAGGGCAGGCTCTGGTAACAGTGCCACTATGCCCATTCAGGAGGCACTAGTGAGGTGCTTGCTACTCCAACCTGGGCATGACAAGGGGATGCCACCAGACTTATCGTACAGTATCTCCCATGCGGCCACTCTGCTGGGTCCGGGGGAGTGTGGCCCCTGCTAGCACTCTGGAAGAGGAGCCAGGCTGGCAGGAGGATGTGCTGAACCTATAATTGCAGCTAGTACAGTCTTTTCTCCTATAACATGGCATACGCATTCCTCAAGTCCTTGCATAATGGAATCCTGCACTCCAAAAATAACTGGGCTTGTGGGGAAAATGGAGTTGAGGCAGAAAACTAAAACATGTATAGTCTTGTAAGTCAGTTAAAAAGAAAAAGCCACCATAACCTTAAACATCATGAACTCCTAGTAAATAAAGGAAGACTACACAAAACATAGAACCTTATCTTGCCAAGACATGAAGTTGGGCTGGTAGAGGTGTTTAGAGTGAAGGGTTGTGGCTTTTGACCTATGGGGAATAGGCGGAAGATCATGCTGAATGAAATGGGACATTAAAGGTGGATGGCTGTGGCTTACTGCCCTTTTTTTCTTCCCTCTGAACTTACTTATCCTAGACATCTAGCTCTGTGAACTGCCTTCGCTCATAAAGCAGCTGTCTGTATGGCTCCGAATGAGATTGAATGACACAAAGTGCTCTCATGCTGTGTTAGGCTTGAAGTTGTTATTGTTAACCCAGTTCTCAGGAAAGCAGCTAACACTGGGATGTTAACACAAAGCTCTGCTTTCTTTTAGGGAGTAGACCAGCATTATTTTGTTATTCCAGTGTCAAGGAGACCAACTGAGAGACTTGATGGGACACAGAAAAAGGTGACAGAAGTTTGTAAATACCTTTTGGCAAACCTTCCTCTACTAAGCTGGAAAGAAGAACCTAGATGGGTGGGAGATTAGATCCAAGAGCCACTGAAAGGAAAAGCGAAGATGGGGCGTTTTCCCAGGTTGCAAGGACAGTGATCTAGAACTTGAGAAAATCTGCATTGACGGGCACTTGCTGGCGACTGTAACTGCAGTGTGTCTGTTGTTTGCGTTAAAGGCAACACTGAATAATTAACCAAGTAAGCAGTTTTATTTTTATCATTTATAACACTCAAATCAGATTACATAATAAAACAATTCTATAAAATCATCTATTTTACTGCGGTTTCCTGTTGAAGGACTATCTCTTCCTGATCTTTCTCCACAACTGTCATCACCTGTAACAGGTTACTTGTCAAAATGCAGCAGTTGTTTCACTCCGTCCTGCTGGTTAGGAGAAACCCATTAGGAAGATATTTCAACCATCTCCTTGCTACTTCCAGCAATTTTTGTCCTCCTACAGCCGATAATTTTCAGGTCTGAAAAACAAAATCAACATTGATTTCCTCACGAACTGCTATTTCAATGCCTGATGAAGGAAGATTAATTTTACAATTTAAAATGAAAGGAACTTTTCCCTGAGCAGTATCTACAAACACTATATCTAAGTTTCTTATCACAAAGTGGAACAGTGAAGTGACAATTTCCCAAATCCTTTGAGAGTATAAATGTATATCACTTGTGCTGATCTAGTAACTTCATAAGTTGAGTTTAATTTGTTATATTTTTAAGTGCTATTTCATAAAGCCCTTCTCACAGAAAGGATTGTAAGGATTGTGTAATCTTTAAGAGTTTAAAATTCATACAAAGATACGGATTTATCTTATAGGCACATTTTGAATGAGCAATTTTCTAATTTTTATTATTTCATCATATGCTAAATTTAATTTCCACTATGATACACATAAAAAATAAATGTATAAATACCAGACCTTTTATGTATTTTTTGCACACATTTAACTGGTCTTTTTCTTGTTTACATGTGCATAGGATTAACCACACTTGAAATTTACTTCCAGTAATAAATTAAAACTAAAAATTTTCAGGGAGATGTTAAAGCATAATAATAAAGTGAAGAAAAGGAAAGTACAAAATGCAAGAAAATTTAAAGTTTCTTGTTATCTTTTAAATAGTACATTTGTAGGTATTGGGCTCATATGAAATTTTCTGAAGAAAGTTAGTAACAAATAAACCACGTATTTTTGAAACAGCTGTAAAAATATTTGATAGTTTGAGTTCCCTTAAAAAGTGGATTAACTCTGCTTTCCCCGAAACAACTTATCTAGACCCTTTCTACATTTACAGCGTGTTTTCTTAAACTGACTACTCACAAAATACCAGATAGCCCAGCTGTGAAGACCAACAGTGGCTGAGAAAATGAACTACATGACAGTTATAAATTGTTGATTATTTAACTCTGAGGAACACAGGCACTGAATCTGGGAAAGCAGCCAAATACGCTTCACCTTATCAGCCATCTATAACAATAAGAGAAACTGCAGACTTTTGTCACTGGGTGTTTGAAATCTCTGTCTAAAGGTAAAAACTGCATCCATATTTGGAAATGACAGATATGATAGGCTGAAAGCGACTCCAAAGTATACCCTCTTAACCTTTGGTACATGACTCAATACAATTAAAGCAGTTCCTAGTCAAGAGACAACAGTGCATTTGAAGAAACAATTTATCCTGTCCAGCTGGTTCATATAATTACAAAAGGGTTGGTGGTGATGTGACCAGAAAGAAGTGTACTAAAGTTCCACAAGAAGTCTCTGCAACTCTACTCAAGAAAATTAAAATGTGTTTGGTCATGGTCTAGTTGTTTGCACACCAAAGGTTAATTCATTAAGTATAATACCATCTTATAGTGACATTTAGGAAAACAATCGAAAATGTGTGTAAAGGGTGTAATCTGCCATGTAAAGAAATGTGGATATAGACCTAGAGGCAATAGGACTAATAAAGCTCAAATTTGTTTCAAAGTAACAAAGTAACCAAAATTGGATATATCAGAGTTGCACTAAAGCACAAAAGGTTAAGAAAAATTTCTATTTTAGCTATAGTTATTAAGCAACCTTCAAATAAGCAGCAAAGACCAAAATATGAATTTACCACAATTTATGTATCAATAGTCAATTCCATTTTATGGAGAAACTGATTCCATTCATCTGTTCATTCAAGCATTCAACAAATAGTTATTGAGTCTCAGATCCTGCCGTGGACATCAGGAATGCAGCAGTGAGCACGACAAAGTCCCTGTCTTCAGGGAGTACATTTTCTAATAGGGACATTCATGCGCACACACACACACAAGGGCTCACACACACACATTTTGACCTTTGAATTGAAAGCTAAAAATTTTAAGCTTTCATATATGTGCTTAGGAGAAACGTGGGAGATTAATGAATCTTCAGAGAATTAGCCAGCATAAGACTTTATTTCCTTTTCTAAATTGTGCTAAACTTCATAGTTATTAAATATTCGGTAGCAACAATCTATTTCACAAATAATACTTACCATGTGCAGAAAACTGCCTCAAACAATATAGTTTTAAGAAGTATTATCTTGAATATCAAGCCGTTTCTATAAAAGAATTTAACTTCTGACTTCAGGAAAAAGCTTTTTGGAGATTTTAGTTTTCTTTGTAAAATGGTGGGAAAATACATTTGGTTTGTGAATAAAATGAAACAAACAAAAAAAAAGCACGTGGTTTATGCCACAGCTCAATTGGAGAAATTTATATTATTTGTCCCATTAGGATAATTTATTTTCTAAGAAGAAAAGCATTCAAATTTAAATCATAAATCCATGAAACTGTATATAATTGTAATAAATCTTAAAAATATTTTTTTCCTCCTTAGGTCTTACCTTTTTCCACTCCTGAATAATATTTCTTAATACAATGCTTATTCCAACGGGACATTTAAAAGACTAAAATAAATTTTCGACAGTGAGTTAATCTTAAAAATAAAAGCCCCGTCTGATTAAGCTGTATCAATTCCATCCACGGTATGGATAGAATTATTCAGAATAAGTCATTTGAGGAAATCTGGTGACATTGCATATTTCCTGAATTATACACATCATACAGGTGAGTGAGGCAGAGTAAAGGTGACTTTATACTCACTTCTCTAGGTACTGTACCACCTCCTCATCAGAAACAGTTCAACAGTTCTTTTTGAAAAACAAAATTCATCAGATTGTTTCAAATTTTTTAAATCAAATTATTTATTTTTTTAAATTAAAATGAACAGAAACTGCTGTTGTATTCAATGAGTACTTTAAGTTATAATCTATATTGGCTAAAACTGTAAATAATTTGGTTTTGGTTGTTTAAATAGAGATATTGCTTTTTATTTTAACAATCAGTCCTGATCTGTTCATCTCCAAAAGAACAGTAGAGTTTAGAATGACTAATTTGAGCCAAATTCAACACTGGAAATGTTGAGGTGTCTATGGTTTAAAGCCAATGCTGAGCTGGTTTAAATGAGTGGGAAAGTTGGAAAGTAACCTTGTTCCCCAAGTCCAGCTAAAAACTTCTGATTGAAGAGCAGCAAATTAAGTTAAATCTTGTGGGAAAATGCCACATGACTAGACTAGCATGAAATTATGGAAAATTTTGAAGATGTCTAGATCCCAGCTCCTTATGGGACTTAAAAAGGTAAAAATCCTTCCCTACTATCTTTAATTAAATTAACTCTCTGATCTAAAGCATGCATTTAAAAGGCACAGGTAAAAATATATGTTTTTCAATAGTCTACTAAAACTGAAAATGTGTAGATTTTTTAGGATTAGCAATTTCCATATCAGAGGGCGTGTACTACAATCACTTAAATCCTTGCTCTCTCTTAGAGCTATGGACTGGACATGATGCTCACCAGGTTCCTTTTCCAGTGCTAATATTCCCAGCTTCTGGAAACTGATTTTCCTTTTACAAGCTAGATGGATTACCGATTAAGCTCCTTAAGTCTATTCCCACTTTCAGGAAAGACAATTCCAGGGACAATCATGGTTGTCCTCCTGTCTCCTCACCTTCATCCTTACCACCCTCTCTCCTTTGCAGACATACTTCTAAAAGTCCGCTCTGTGATAAGCATTAAACACCAGGAATGCAGGTTTTCATTATAAACAGCTGTTACCAAGCATTCATTGATACTGAAACTTTCCACACTTAGTTTCTCTACAAAGGCAAAGGTTCTGCTTAAAATAATGCACTACTAAGTTAACAAGTGAGAAGTAAAAAATACGTATTTTTTCGGCTTTGTTTCATGAGTGCTACATCACTCTGGATAATGCAAAGTGATTCAGGTTGAAATTTTCCAAACACTTAGTTTTTCCTAAGAAAAACTCTCCAATAGACTTTTGTAAAAATGAAAATTAAAAAAAAATTAGTTTAAAATTATCAACTTCTATTTTTAGCCTATCATAATGAAAAATTTCCATCACAGTGAGGGCATTTTATATTTCCATGATTACTATGGTTTTGTAATGTGTTGGCAAAACTGTAATAATCATGGAAATAATTATTGATAGTATTAAGGTAAACTGATCATTCGAAAGCTACTATCCTAGGCAGTTGAATTGTGAAGAATGGATAGTACTATTTTCTTTTTCCTTGAAAGAAAAAAGAGAAATGAATTCTAAGTGTTAACTTTACAATTACCATTTCCACATGGCAAACACACATCTACTTTGTATCAAGAAACACAAAACCTCATAACATAGTCTCATACAATTTATGTATCAATGAGATATAAAAATAATAACACACAAGGTATATCCACTGATTTAAGAAGTGAGGTGTGCAGCCAATACTACTCATATGGGAAAATGGCTTCTAGTAATTGAGCTTTAAAAAATATATTTATAGTTTTCCCATGAATATCATGTTTATTCCTTCTCTTCGAAAGGTTTTTACATTGTTTTAAAAATATATATTTCAAATTGTGCCAACTAAAAAACTAGCAAAAAAAAAAAAAACACAAAAAGAAACTAATGCATTCTGAAATTAGGCCTGAGAAAAAGAATATAACCTTTGTAAGAGATTTAAAATTTAAGTGAAATCCCAACAATGATAGCATTTAATAATTATTAAAACAATTTTGTTAACCACCTAAGTTCAAAGTTCAATTTGACAATTGTTACTGTTGCTCAAAAGCCTTTAGCCTCCATTGAAAGCTAATAAACTTACATTTAGCCAAAAGTTAATAACAGTTCCAATTACAAAATGTACATTTTAATATTATAAACATATTTAAGTTTTATTGCTAGGGAAACAAAAACGAAAGCAAGACATTTTGGTGTTTATTTACGGTGCAATCAGGTACATCTATTTCAGTCAAGTCTCTGCAGATTCACAATCAGATCTATCTTTAAATAAATTCAAGTTAGTACATTCCAAAGGAAGATTATATTCTTGGCTTAGCTATGCTGGGTAGAACAAAAACATATTTTAAGTTCCTCCAAAAGGAGATTTCGC